CATTCGTCGTTCTGGAGAAGTAGTCGAGTGGTTAAATACTCGAATAACTCTTTGGTTATCAAAAGAATGATTAATTAAGTTATAAATACAAATGATTGGTTAGTGAGCTATAAATAAATACTAAGCTTGAAAAGCCCATATTTAAAAGAGATAAAACGACCATGATATATTTCAGTCGTTATAAAAATCTTTGAGAGATTGATTTCCCTTGTTTCTCTCAGTTTACCATGGAGAAGGATCGTAACCCTAATTCTCACGAGTGTCTCAGACAAGATCAATCCAGTTCCTGGTCGAAGCTTCCTCATGATCTCTTAAGGTCGGTGTTCGAACGTCTCAGCTTTGCTGATTCCACACGAGGTAAGTTCGTATGTTCGTCTTGGCTCTCTGGTTTGAAACAATTTGTGCCCAAAAATAAGATCCCTTGGCTGATTCTCTTCCCCAAAGACAAGCACGATAATTCTTGCACGTTGTTTAATCCAGAGGAAAAATAGAAACGTTCCAAAATACAAGATCTTGGTGCTGAATTTGGAAAGAGTGTTTGCCTAGCAACCTATGGAAGTTGGTTCTTAATACGAGATCCTCTGTTTAATCTCTACATTTTGAATATATTTACGCACAAGAGGATCAATCTACCTCCTGTGGAGTCACAGCTTGGAATGACAAAGATCGAGCGAACCTTATATGGTCGGTTCAGCATTTCAAACGATCACAACTGGAAAAAGACCAAAGGTAAAGATTATGTTGTTATATGGGGACTTGAAGAATGTTGTGTGGTTTATTCCAAGAAAGGAGATACCTCGTGCGGAATCAAATTCCCGAAACTTCAAGAAATTTTGGCATGGCTTACAAGGATCACAAGCTTTACTTATTAAGCTTAAGCCCCCACGGTAGTTTCAAAATCTTTGATTTTTCTGGTGAGATTCCGCAAGAAACCTTTCAATGTGGTGTTGTTGGCTATTGCGAGACTGTGCTCGCTAATGACATTGAGGGATTCAATAGAAATTCCATCTATTTGGATGGTGTGCATGCAAACCAGGCAAACTTTATTTTCAATCTCAAGACAAAGAAGATGGAGCCACTGCAACTTTGATTGTTCGTCCATTGAATTCTCTGAAATTCGATGGTTCATACCATGTTTCACGCAGACATGATTGATCCTAACTATGTTGTCCTCTTCATTATCTCAACTATGTTTTAATCAGTATCTTGTTTTACTCTAATTAATAATAATTACGTGCTAATTTTCTCAAGTTCAAAAGAGATGTATACACAAAAGATTTAAAACAAAATTAGCAAACGTGTAGAAAATGATAGGCTTTTGTTTTGGAATCTTACTTGTGATTATTGTGATAAAGAAAAACTCTTTGGAAAGTTATCTTTTTCGCTATTGGCGTGGAAGACGAAGAGATTATAGAATTGGGGTCAAAACGTTAATAATGAGAAAAGAATTGATACTAGCAAGTTTTTTGCTCTTCTGAATCAAAATGAGTTAGCATCATGACTCTCTTCTGTATGTAACTTGCTTCCTTCTTACTCCACCTCTGAACCTGGACGTGAAATCTTCACCGGTTTCAACGAAATCAACCTGAAACCTCCATTCAATTTATGTTTGAGAATTTGTAACGACAAATAATTGAGTTTAGGAAGAACTTACGTATAGAAACAGACATGCTGCTTCAGAACATTATCACATTTCCAGGGATGAGCATCGGCATTACTACTATCACAAGTAAGTTCCTTAACATGCCTTCAGATTTGCTTTGTACTGGGATTTCACTTTTACTAATCTTCATTGGACACTTGAAGAATTTTAGCTTGTGGCTAAGAAAATGCATATTGAGATGATCTTAATTTCTTCTATAGCTAGCAACACAATCATCCACATAGCATGTAACTCTACAAGCCAAGAAAGTGAAACCTTGATAACATAGCACACATATGAAACAAAAATCTTGAAATCTTGGGCACAAACAAGATTATTGAACATCAGAGACCTCACACTCTTCTGTGTGAGATATTTAACATTAATTGATTCTAGTCTTGTATGTTATTACTATTATTTCATCGACATGTTCTCATATATCATTACTATAATTGCTTAAATATTTTACAGATTTACAGAATTAAAGGTTTTTGATATAAATAATTAATCCTTAGTTATCTAATACAATGTTGCCCCTAATTAATCTATTTAAAATCACCTACTTAAAAACAAAAAGATCAATATGTAATCTAATATTCTTCAACAATAAAGGTTAAAAATCATCCGAGGCTAGTCCAATAACACACAGACGATATACAATTAATTGAGTTATAGAAGAAAGAACTACACAAAAAAAAAAAAAGCCAATGAGAAGAGTGTGTGAACGAAGCTCATGCATATACAATGTTTTTGGGTTCATGATAAAGTTTGACCAAAAAAAAAAAAAACCAAAAGAGGTTAAAGCAAATAACAATCTCACGCTAATTTTTCATGCTATATATATACACACATAGTAACCAAAGAAACCCATTCAAGAAAACAAAATGAACCACAAAAAGATGGGGTTAAGAAATAGTGATGATAATTGAGATAGAGTAGAACAATACACTTGGAATCGCCGAGTAGAACTGTTCGTTGGTTGACTAGTCGCAGAAGCTTTTTTTTTTCATACAAGAAAAAACTTCTCCGATTGGAAGACTAACGAATAATTTTACTCCGGCGATTGGCTCTGTTAGTAGTAACATTTTCTTGTCATTTTTTCTACTTACTAATTTTGATTAAAAAAAACAAGAATAAAGGGCAAAAAAAACAAGTACACCATTTTTTGGATTTAATTTTTTGGTTTTTAGGGTATATAATTTAATATTTTGAGGTTAGTGTTTCACATCTGTTCTGTTAATTTTAGTAGTAAATATTGTTGTGTTTATTTTTAACTTAGTTTCTCATCTAAAATTGGCAGATTTTGGGTTCGATGAAACCCGTCACAATATCCTCAAACATATTCTTGCATTACATATATAGTTTAAATTTATGCGAAATTAAATGAAATACATTGTTTGTGCATGATTTCATATTTACCGTAGATAGAATTCCACAAAATAATCCTCTAAACACGCAAGCTTTTATCATCACTCTTCAAGATCCTATAGTTGAAATCCGGAACCCGATTCTCGCCGGAAACCTCCACCGCCGAGCACATACTCGGCAAAAACCTGCCGCGGCCACCGCAACTATGCTGCTTCTTCTTTCTCCAATTGGCTCTAGATAACCAAGAACTCAGCCGTGATGAGCTATGTCTTTGCTGAAATTTATTGTTTTTGGAATTGTCTTTCCTCGGATCGAATTGGGGACATGTATGGAAGCTTTTGAAGTAGTCGATTTCTTTACGTACAAGCGATCCGATTGTTCCTCGTGTCCCTATGGCGATTGGAGCAGCCATTGATAAGAGTTTTGGTGTGCAGCTTCTTAGTTTCTTTTTGTTCTATTTGATCAAGTGGTAATGAAGTGATGTGGAGATGCTTGAAGCTAAAGTAATAGAAAATGTTTACTTTTTTATATATAAATGATTGCTTTGGTTGGTATCATCCATTTCTTTACAAAAAATTGCCATTTTTCAAGTGTCACTTTATAAAAATGCCACACTTTTGAAATCTTTACAAAAATACCACTTTTTCAAAATATATTTTTCTTTATATTATTTATGTTTGGGTTAATTATGTACTATTAGAGTTTAGTTTGAGTGTTTAGGGGGTTTTAGGTGTTAAAATATTTTTAGAGTTTAGAATTCTAAGATATAGGCTTTATAAATCTATAATTAGTGGTATTTTGGTAAATAGACTCCCTTAAGTGGTATTCTTGCAAATGTGCACACAAAAAGTGGCATCTGTAATTGTCTCATAGTTTATATAATGACATAAGGTTGTTGGAGATAGGACAAACTATGTTTCGGTTGATAAAATTACATAAACTATGTTAAGTTAGTCTAGAATATTCGAACAACTCACACTTTTTTGTTATGTTTTTGGCTATCACCCAACATTTTTTAAATTTAAGAGAAAAAAATTAAAGAAAAAATTTAGTTTGGCACTAATTTATTGTTTAATTATTAGATTAGCTTTTATTTTATTTTTATTACAAATGAGTTTTTATGTCTATTTTACCATCACATCTTTTGTTAGTAAAATACCTTATTTATAGGAATGACATTCTT